TTTTTTTTTAAATGTGGGAAGAGACTAGCCTACATGTTCTCTTTTGTTTTGTTGCCCAGTTTGCCTGGTGCTATGCCAATACCACAGTGACCCAATTTCTTTAGCTTTATCCTTTATACTGCAGTCCTGATATTGTTTCTTCAAACTTGTCTTGGCTCTTCTTGCACTTGCCTTTCCATATTAATTTTAGGGTCAGGTCTGTTCCATAGAAAATTCCATTGGAATTTTTCTTAGAATTGCATTAAAAGTATTCATTAATGTGGAGCCTTATGAAATTGTTTTAATTAAATTTTCCTATCCAAGAATATATTGTTTTCCATTTACTTAGGTATTCTTTAATGTTCTCAGATATTATTTTGTAATTTTCTCCAGAAAAGTCATTTTAAAACTTCTGTGAATTTTTTCCATAGGTATCTTATATTTTTCCTACTATTATAAATGCTATATTTTTATAAAATTTTGTTTTCTTGTTTTATAGAGTATAAGAACACAATTGATTTTGGAAGATTGATTATAAATCTTAATTAGTTCTAATTACCTATATGTAAATTTTGTTAGGTCCTCTATTGAATAATCTTCAAAAAATAAGATTGTTTCTTCTTTCCAATTATTATAATTTTTTGCTTTTAATATTGTTCCAAGAAGACCTCCAGTACAATGTCGAATAGAAAAGCAATATTGGACATCTTTTTCTATTCTTGATTTTGAAGAGACTGCTTCTAATGTTTCATAATTAAGTGTGAAATGTATTACTGTTTTTAGTTCATAGCCTTTTTCAGGTTTGAAAGTCTCCTCCCTCCCTCCCTTCCTTCCTATGTTTTCTTTCTTTTTTTTTTTTTTTTTTCTCTCCTGCTTACTTCCTTGCTTTCTCTTTCTTTCCTTCCTTTCCCTTTCCCGTTTCCTTTCCCTTTCCCTTTTCAACAGTTTCTTGCTCTCCCAGGCTGGAGTGCAATGGCAATCATAGATTACTGCAGCTTCGACTTTCTATGCTCAAGCAATCCTCTCACCTCGCCCTCCTGAGTAGTTGGGACTACAGGTGTGGGCCACTGAACCCAGCTAATTTTTTTATTTTTTGAAGAGACAGTGTTTTGCCATTTTGCCCTGGCTGGTTTTGGACTCCTGGGCTCAAGTGATGTTCCTGCCTCCTGAAGTGCTGGGAATATATATACCACACCTGGCTCCCCTCTATTTCTTGTTTAAGGTTTTGGTATTTCTTTTGTCCTGAAGTGGTGTTGGAATTTATTGGAAAAAAAATTTTTTTGGTAATGACTGAAATGATCAGATAGGTCTTATCTGTTGCGCCGGAGAAATTGTCTAATGTCAAACGGTGCTTGTAATTTCTAGTATAATCTCAATTTGGCTGTGATACATAATTTTATGTTTGTTACAATTGCTCGATTGATATTTTATTGAGGATTTTTGCATTTATGTTTATGTGTAAGATTGGCCTATAATTTTTTTTTTTTGTAATATTCATGTTTGGTTTTTGTGTGAGTTATATTAGTTTGCTAAAATAAACCTGAGGGGCATTCCATCTTTAGTAATTCTTTAGAAGAATTTGAATAAGCCTAATTCTTTGGATATATGGCAGATTTTACAATAAAACTATTCTGTGTGTGCATGGGAGAGACAGAATGAGAGCAAGAGATAGCAAGTTGGAGTAGATACATAATTCTGATGTAATTCATTTAATAGCTATAGCAACATTTGAGTTTTTATTCTTATAAAGAATAACATAAAGATAATAGCTTTGTACCTTTATAAAAGCTATATATTATTTTTTACCATAAAGGTCCATCTTTTAAATTATTTAATTTGGTGGTTTTTAATTTATTTGCAGAGTTGCCCATTTTTAAATTGAATTATTTGTCTTTTTATTGTTGAATTGTTTTATATATATTTTGTATACAAGTCTCTTATCAGATACATGATTCATAATGTATTTTCTTCTATTCTGTGGGTTATCTTTTCACTTTTTTAATGGTGTCTTTTGAAGCACCTAAGTTTTTCATTTTGATAAAGTCCAATTTATACATTTTTTTGGTCACGTGTGCTTGTGATGTCATGTCTAAGAAACCATTGCCTAATCCAAGATCACAAATATTTGCTCCTGTGTTTTCTTATGAGAACGAAAACGTATACATAGGAAATGTTGTCAAACATTTTATAGTTCTAGCTCTTACACTTAGGTTTGATACATTTTGAGTTAATTTTTATATATGATAGGAAGTGAGAGTTCATTTTTTGCATTTGCTTATCCATTTGTTCTAGCACTATTTGTTGAAGAGTATTGTTTCCTCTACTAAATTGTCTTGGCACTCTTATCAAAATAAACTGATTATAATTTTAAGAATTTATTTCTCGACCCTTAATTCTGAATAGATGATCCATAATGTCTATTTCATATGTCTTACCCCAAGGACTAAAATATATTCATCTGTATTTTGTACTAGATTTTTAAAATATATAATATTTTCTTATACTATCCAGAGTTATGTTTTTTAAAAATACAAGGTAGAGTTTCAGTTTCATCTTTTTCCATAGAAATAACCATTTTTCCCAGCTGAATGCCAGAATTTCCTACTAATCTTACATGCCAACTCTCCCATGTACCACATTTTCGTATACGTGTGGGTCTGTTTCTAGGCTCTGTTCTGTTTCATCATTCACTCATCTATTCCTGTACCAATACCACACTGTCTTTAATTATTATAGCTTCATAGCAGGTCCTAATATCTGGTGGGGTAAGTTTTCTCCCCTTGTTCCCTTTCTTTAAGAGTGCTTTGGCTCTCCTGGGCTCTTTGCTTTTTCATATAACTTTTAGAATCATCTTATTTAATTCTATGAAAATTCCTATTAGGCTTATAAAGTTTGAATTGCACTGAATCTATAGATTAACCTGGAAATAATTCACATATTTATGATATTAGGTCTTCTAAACCATGAACATGATATATTTCTCCATGAATTTAGGTCATTTTATAAACATCTTTTAATATGCTTTTATAATTTTCTCCATCAAATTTTCGTATGTCTTTTGTTAGATTTATTCCTAGCCATTTAATATTCTCTGAGGTCATTGCAAATGGAATGTTTTATGTGATTATGTTTGTAGTTTTTTGCTGATATGTAGAAATTAAACTGACTTTCATAAGTTAATCTTATATTCAGCCAATTTGGTAAACTCTCCTATTAATCATAATTTATAGATTTTTTGTTTTTATATAAATAATCATAACATCTGCAATAATAAGATTACATTTGAACAAAGATATGAAATATGCAAAGAAGTAAACTATATGAATATCTGGAGAACATACCAGCCAGAAGAAAAAGAAAATACAAAGGGTTTAAAGCAGGAACATGACTGATATGTTCAAGGAATATCAAGAATTAGAGTTTCTGGAATGCTGTGAGCAAGCAGGAAAGTGATAGAAGATAAGGCCAGAGGTTTTGGACCAGATTATGTTAGGTCTTGTAGACCACTGAAAGGGCTTAGGTTTTCACTCTGACTTGGGCATCTGTTGGAGGGTTTTGAGCAAAGGAGTGACATGATCTGAGTTATTCTTACTACTGTGTTGAGAATAGAATATAAGGGTCAAGGATTAAAGCAAAGAGGTGTGATAAGGTGTCATTGCAGTAATCCACATGAGATAATGGAAGCTTAGACTAAGGTGGTAGTGGGGAGAGGTGGGGAGAAGTGGCTAGATTCTGGATGTATTTTGAAGACAGAACCAACAGGATTTGCTAACAGACTGGGTATTGCTTAAGAGAAAGAAAAAAGAAGCATCAAGGATGATTCCAAGTTTTTTGGTTTGAGCAATTGGAAGAGTAGAGTTTCCATTAGTAAAGAATGTTATTGAAGAAGTGGGAGATCAGTTCATACAGCGTCTTCTTTATAAGGCATATGAAAGAAATTTAAGAACTTGCTTTGTCAGTATTTTTGTTTGTTTCTGTCTAATGGGAGCTGCAAGTTGTGAAACTGCATTGCCTGCTAGAAAATGAAGAACATTTGTGTCCTTTGTAGCAAAGATATAGCTATCTAAAATTTGTGTGTGTTTCATATTGACTTCATTCACATTTGGCCTTTCTCTTTTTTCACTACTTCTAATTTATTCTCTTATATGTTATATATCCTTGTATACCTCCTTAAAACCTTTTTAGAACAGAGTCTGAATTAATAAAAAAAAGTTGTTTGCATTGTTTGCTGGCAAAAATGAAATATGGGTAATAGTATTAGTTTTTAAAAACCAAGTTAAAATTTAAATTTAGAACATCATCTTGAACTATAAATATGTGTTTGTGTGAGTTTACATACTCACAGTTTTGAGTGCCTGCTGAGTTCCTACAACTCTATATCATCCATTCAGCAACATTCAGTGAACAGTGCTGTTCTAGGCACCTGATACATCAATTAATGAATCTACCCTTCAGGGAGCTTGCATTCTACTGGGGAGGATACTGACAAACAGCACATGTAGTAAATTAGTAAATTACACAGTGTGTTAGAAGGTAATACATGCTATGGGGGAAAAGAAAAAGCATGATAAGGGAGTTTAGAGATGAAGGGAATATGGGGATTGCGGTATTAGAGTGGTCTGGATGGGCCACATTGAGAAAATGAAATTGGAGCAGAGACGTGAAGGAGTGAGTTATGTGGCTGTCTAAGCGAACAGCATTTCATTAGAGGGAAAGGCAAGTGGAGGTTCCGAGGTAGGCACATGCTTAGGATATTGAAGGAACAGCTAGGTGACCTGTGTGGATTTGAATGAGTGAGAAGAGTGGTAGAAAATGAGAGAAAAGAGGTAATGGGATCGAGGGCAAATTGCGCAGGGACTTGTAGACTTCTGTTAGGACTAGAACTTTTTCTGAGTGAGAGTGGGTGCCACTGCAGAGTTTCAAGCATAAGAGGGGCATGATTTGACTTGCATTTTAAAAGGATTGCTCTGGCTGTTATACATAACTTTCAAAGGAGTTGATGATTATTTCTGCGATTTTAGGTATATTACAGCTAATACTGACACAGAAGAACAGAGTTTCCCAGTCCCTAAGGCATTTAACACACATGTAGAGGAATTAAATTTAGATGTCCTTCTTCAGAAGGTAGATCATTTACGTATGAGCGAGTCTGGCAAGTCGGAGAGTTTTGAACTACTTTGTGACCACAAAGAAAAGGTAAGAGACATGACAATAGCACTTCGTATAGTTTCATTTTTTTATTTAATCCGCCATCTCATTCAGTTATGACTACAATAATTGTGTCATGGTTCCTTCCCACAAGCTAAATGATGTAAAATTTCTCTATAAAATGACTAAAATTGTTTTAAATTTATGTTATTTTTTATTTAAAATGACTAAAATTTTTTTTTTAATTTATAAAAGTAAATGTAAAAGTTTATTAGACTCTAAGGTCATAAAAATGAGAACCAGAGCTATAATTATGCAGATTTACCTTTATTTTATTTTATTTTTTTACTAATTTATATATTTAACAAATATTTTGAGACAGCTATGGGTATTTAAAGCTATTTCTACCAATGGTCATTTGTTAATTTTGCAGTGTTTAATGTTGGGTCTGAATAAGAAAAGCCTGTCCAGAGCTCTCACCACCACCACTAAAAAAAAAATTAAAATTAAAATTAAAAGAGTTTGCAGTGTCCCATGGAGAAATAAATCTCTATTTCTCTGAGGATTTAGCAACTCTAAACACATTATCTAAAACCTGATAGATCTCCAGGATTATATTTAGGTAATTTAAGTAAAAAAACTGACTGCTCTTTTGAGTATATGCATTTTCAACTTACAGATATTAACTGAGATGCTCATTATATTGATAATAGATAACTTTGAAAGGAAAAGAAGAAAAGGATACGACAGCTCAGGAAGAATTTCTAGATTTTGGTGCCTATCAAATCTCTCCTCTGCATAGATGGAGCTAGTGTCTGGATAATATTAATTGGTTTTAAGATCCAAATGTAACACTACATTAGGTCATATTTCTTAGCCATGAGTATTTGGATTAAAAATGTTTCACACTGAAATATGCATATACATAGATTCAATAATCTATAAATACCAGTTTAGCTGCCTAAGTTTTTTCAAAGTTGCAGTAGAAAACAAGAATAGAATAGACAAGTTACCAAGTTAATTTAACATGCAACTCCATCTTTTTTTTTCAGTTTAGAGATGAAATAGAGTTTATGTGGCGATTTGCTCGTGCTTATGGAGACATGTATGAACTATCTACAAACACACAAGAAAAGAAACATTATGCTAATATTGGTAAGCATTTTGTAAAGATTATTCTCAACTAGCAATTAAGATCTATAGTAAATCATGCAGCCATAAAAAACGATGAGTTCATGTCCTTTGCAGGGACATGGATGAAGCTGGAAACCATCACTCTTAGCAAACTAACACAAGAACAGAAAACCAAACACTGCATGTTCTCACTCATAAGTGGCAGTTGAACAATGAGAACACATTGACACAGGGAGGGGAACATCACATAGCAGGGCCTGTTGGGATGTGGGAAGCTAGGGGAAGGATTGCATTAGGAGAAATACCTAATGTAGATGTAGGGTTGATGGGTGCAGAAAACCACCATGGCACGTGTATCCCTATGTAACAAACCTGCATGTTCTGCACATGTATCCCAGAACTTAAAGTATAGTAAACAAAAGATCTATAGTAAACCACTAGTGAATTTTAATTAAAGCTAAATTATCTTAGCTGAAACCAATATGTTTAATCTATTTTAATATATTATGGTACAAAAAAATGTGCAGTCTCAGAACAGAAAGGCATTTTAGGACTAAAGTATATGTCCTTCAGAAATATTTGAGTATATTAGAATAGGTAACCGAAAAAACTTAAATTTCATCTTTTAACTTCATAAAACATAGAAAGACAAGAAATGTAGTGGCAGTGTTTGAGAAACAACAGGCAGAGGACAAGTGTCTTCAGCAATTGTCAACCACAGTTAAAGTAACACATCTTACTTCTATAATGTAGAACTCCAGGGATCACAAAGAATAAACTTGCAGACTTTAATGTTTTTCCAAATGTATCTTGATGAAACAAGATTAACCTTGTTAAAAACTCTGTTTGATAATTGTCTGAGCTGAACGATGATTACATGGTGGTTCATTATTCTGTCATCTATACTTTTTTGTGTATTTTTAAAATTTTTCATCACAACAACTAAATAGACAGAATGTCAAATTGTTATTTTTATGCCTCACCTTGACTCTTACTCAATGTCAAAATGTGTTCTTGCAAAAGCCCCTACCTGCCATCTCTCTGAATGTCAGTATAGTACTTTGACATCAAAATCCTTTGAATTCTTTATTTATTCCGAAGGCTTCTCTTTTCCAGGCTTTTCTTCTAGAAAAGATAGCCAGAGGAAGACACAGCAAGAAAGATTTCTACCCAGGCTAATTCTCTGTAATTTTTATTTCCAAGTAGAAAGTTTTACTAAACTCCTTGTAATTATATTTTTCCACTTAGAGATTCATTTGCTAAATGACCTTTGTGCTTTAGTTTCCCCCAGTGGGAGGAGGATGAGAGGGTTTCCCCCTCTTGTTTGCATATTCATCATCAGCTTTGTAGAGTTTTTCTGTAGCAATCCAGTTTGCAGACCATATACAAAACAGAATTCTAGAGAAGAGATGTATTAATTTCAATGTGAATAAAAACTTAACCAGGGAGAACAAGGGAATTTATTTTCATATCTACTGAGAAAATCAAAGTGTATCTATGTAAACTATTCCAACATTCATCAATATTAGATACATTTTTTTCATAAGTACCTGCCCTACCCTGGGTATTATGTGCTAAGGTAGGAATAGGATAGCAAAATAGACATGTTTTCAGACTACAGGGGAGCTTATGGCTTTGTAGGGGAGGCAGCACTATTCAAATAATCATACATATACAAAAACGAATGGAAATAAGCTCTTATTAAAGAAGAGTGCAGAGGCTGGATGCAGTGGCTCATGCCTGTAATCCCAGCACTTTGGGAGGCCAAGAGGGGCAGATAGCTTGAGCTCAGGAGTCTGAGACCAGCCTGGGCAACATAGGGAGACCTTGTCTCTACTAAAAACAACACACAACTGAGGTGGGAGGATCAGTTGAGTCCAAGAGATCAAGGCCACAGTGAGCCATGATCTCACCACTGCACTCCAGCGTGGGTAACAGAGCAAGACCCTGTCATAGATAGATAGATAGATAGGGAACAGGTTGTTTGCGAGCACATGTAGCAGAAAGGAGAATATGATGGCAGAGGATGGAGGTTGATGCAGGGAAGTCTTTCTTATGGAAGTTACAGTTTCCCATAGGTAAAATCGCTCTGGATCTCTATTCTTAAATGGAATGGGAGTTTAACTGAGTTAATGTCTTAGGTGGTGAAATTCGTAAAGAAATAGGTTGAAGGGAATTCAGGGGCAAAAATGAAGCATAGGATTGAAATAGAATATATCTAAAAAAAAGAGAGAAGAGTTTATAGTGCCGAAGAAAAAGGAGTAGAAAAAGCCTTAGATGTGTTCATTCAGATATTGAAATAAAAGTTAAAAAATTCCTTTAATTTATCCATTTAATAAATATTCAAAATTATTTTGTCAAGGAACAGTGTGAAAATGAAGGGTGGAGGGAAGGGGAGGAGGGAGAGAAGGAGAGGCATAAATATGATGAAGGCTGCACAACACTAAGGAATTTACTCTATGGAAAAGATAATAAAGGGACAGCCAATTATATTCAGTGTATAAGGAGTAAGTGCTTAGTAATGGTAATAGCCAAGTACATTGGAGCTGAGAGCAAGGCAGGGGCTCAGACCAGCCGTGGAAGAACGTAGGATTCAGCATGAGGGAGGAAGAAGTGCAGGAGATTTCTTCTCATAATAGCATGATTAAGGTTGTTATGCTTAGGAAAGATTTGATCACTGGAGAGTACAAAATTCTTTGATAAAACTCAAAGTGAGTATATCATTATACAGTATGTTTCTGAAGTATTATGATATTAATCTTATATTTAAAGAAATATTATTCTAATTTTCCTAATTAAGTAATCGATATGAATGCATCATAAAGATGACAAAATACAGTTATCTAAAGGAAATAGCTTTACTTTTGTCCTGACTACATAAGCGAGGCTATGAATCTAGTTTGTATACTACCCAGCTTCTTTTTATATTCTTGGAGTGATGGAATCACCTCTATTTCAGGCTTCTAGTACGCTGAAAGTTTTATTCATTTGGTAATGTAGCTGAAAAATTGATTTAGTTTTTAATGTTTTTTATATTCAAAAGCATGTTTTTAACCATTTAAAATTGCTAATTTCTTTAATATTTGTTCACAATGCAGTTAATTATTATTAAAACACTTCACTTTTTAATTCTTTCAAATTTATGTAGATTTCTACACGGAATATTTCTCTTAATGGATAGTGCTGTAGAATGGCACCTTAACAAATTAACAAATAGAACCGTGGTTTCAGAATAAAATATTTGTATTTATAAAGATTATCTCGGCCACTTATTTAGAAAGGCATTTTGCATATCCTTGGATAGTCTCTTCAAGATAATAATAATAATAATGGATCAGGGAGAAAAGAAGTTATAAAACAAAATGGCCCCTTTTGAGAAAGATTCTCAGAATACAGTTCTGTTTTATTGCAGGTATTTTGATTTTCCAAGCCATAAACAAACCTGTATCCAGATTATTATTATTATTATTTATTATTATTATTATTATTATTATTATTATTGAGATGGAGTCTTGCTCTGTCCTCCAGGCTGGAGTGCAATGGTGTGATCTCAGCTCACTGCAACCTCTGCCTCCTGGGATCAAGCGATTCTCCTGCCTCAACCTCCTGAGTAACTGGGATTACAGGCTTGCACCACCACACCCAGCTGATTTTTGTGTTTTTAGTAGAGACAGGGTTTCGCCATGTTGGCCAGACTGGTCTCGAACTCCTGACCTCAGGTGATCCACCTGCCTTGGCCTCCCAAAGTGCTAGGATTACAGGCGTGAACCACCACGCCCAGCCCCAAATTAATTATTACATTGTTAAAAATTACTCTAAAACTAAGTAAAATAATTTGGGGGAATTATTTATGTCACTGAACCTGTTCATTATTGTGAATGATTAGGCAAGAACTTCTCAGGCTTCCCTGACTCCTTCCCTTACTCCTTCAGGCAGAGTTAGTTACCCACTCTGCTGTGCCCTCTTTTTCATCTTGCTCTTACTTTTTTATTTTTGCATGTAACTTATTTGTTTATATACCTGCAGCATACAGAACAGTGAGCCCTTGGAGGTCAAGGACTCTGTCTTATTTGACATTTTATTCCCAGACACAGTACGGCACATAGTAGGTACTCAGTAAATGTTGTTTGAATGGAATACAAAAAATTTCTATTGCGCTTTGTAAGCAATAATTAAATGATGTTTCTTGCACTTGGTTAAGTTGCTTAGTCTAGTGTGTGTCAGACCTTAGCATACATCAGAATCATTGGAGGCTCATTAAACCACAGATTACTGGGCCCCAACCCCACAGTGTGTGATGGAGTAGATCTCCAATGTGGCTGAAAAGTTCTCAAAGTTGCCACGTGATGCTGATGCTTCTGGTCTTGGGACCATACTTTGTGAACCATTGAGCTAATTCAATAATCCACCTCCTACCAACTCACACGAAGGTACTAAGTATAAGCACTCTTATCTTTCAGGAAGAACTTTAAGTGAAAGGGCTATTAATAGAGCACCCATGAATGGACATTGTCATCTGTGGTAAGTATATAGGTTTTATGCAGTCTTTTAAATTCTAACCTGCCTCTTTATAAATTAAATGGATTTTTCAAAATATTATTGACCCATATGTTTAATCTGTCAGTCACAGTCACTGAAAAATGTATATAATAGCACAGGAACTGTTCTTATTCTGTTTATTCACATATTGTTATTATGCATCTTTTAAATATATTTAAGGGAAACTTATTAAAAAATTCTTGAATGAATCTACGAAGTCTACTGGCTTTGAAGATGATATGTTATAATTAAATCTAGTTCAGCATAACATTTTGTTTGAACACAAATGCTAAAATGTTAGCATGTTTCTAAATGAAATGTAGAAAAGCACGTCAACCATTTCTTATGCATTGATGCGTCATAATATACAAATTCCACAGATCAAGGAAAAGCCATTTATGATATAAAAAGTTCAAACAAAGAGAATCTAATTAGTTAGATTCGTATAGGTAAATATTCTTAGAGCAAAAAAAAAATCATTCTTATGTTGTGTTTGGACCCTTTGTATGTTTATGTAAACATTATTTTATAAATATAAATTATAAATTATAAAACACAAGAAGGAATATATTGTTTTTAATTATTATTCTTAATTTTACTTGTAGTTGCATTTTTACATTTATAGTTCCTTGGTTTCTTTTTCTCTCCAGCAATACAGGTGCCCCAGATAGTGGGAAGATACAATAATAAATGTATGACGCTTTCTTCAGCCCTAAGTTTCCAGAAATCCACCCTTCTTTGCGATTACTTTATTTCCCATCCATATGATGTAGGGGCACTCTTAGGCAAAATCTCTCTTAAAATGGCTCCCTTTCCACAGGTCCACAGTTGTCCCACAGAAGACTCATTTTTTTCCCACCAAAATCTGAAGTACAAACCATTTTCTCAAAGTAGACCTGTTTTTTCACCTGCCACCAGCAGGGGGAGCTCCACTCACAGACTCTCACTTCAAATTCCTTGGGGAGGAATCCGGTAACATTTTATTTGTCCAAACTCAAAGGGACATATGCCAAAATATGAATAGATTTTTTGATGCTGCCCTCCCATAGTTTTAGATGAGATGCAAGCCTAGCCCCTGCCCTCTGTCATGAGAGGGTGGAAGGTGGAACCCACAGCACCCTAACCCTGGAGAAATCCTCACTCCCAGTCTCTTCCTCCCTCCGGTGAATTCTTTGCCTTCTCTTATGTAGCCTGGAGAAGAGTGAAGGGCTAAATCTGGCAAAACCTGGGAATAATTTCTTAGTATGTCACGGATAAGTAATAGAGAATCTTGCTTTAGGGATTGGAGTACCTAATAGATAAAGTATTGATTTGTATTCTTGATGCCTCTGCCAAAATTCTAGGGAAAAAGGTAATTTTCCAGGTAACAATTTGGTACAGACTTTTAAGATCATTTCCCTAGAACAGAGGGTCTTGGCTATTATATTAGCCAGGTTTACCTATATAATCTAATTTACATAATAACACTAGTAGATTAACATATATGTTAAAGCACTTTCGTTCTTCTACTTTTAGTAGTAACTGTAATAAATTTGTGGTGATCAAGCCCTACTGTCTCTCTTCATCTCCTTTGATAACGGAGGTATTTGGGAACTGGTTAGCCTAATTAGGATGCAGAAAGAACATTGAAGTCCTACTTTTAACTCTCAACTCCTCCTCCTTCCCTCCTCTTCCTGTCTCTTACCTCCGGCCCCTCTGTTCCCTCCCCTCCTCTTCCTTCTCTTCTTTCTCCCCCTCCTCTATTGCTCTTCCTTTCCCATCCTCTGCCCTCTTCCTTCTCTCCTACATGCATCTGTACCCACGAAGAATCACATTAAAAATGTGCATTTGGTGTAAATCCTCAATTTGAGGTTATTTATCAGTGTGGGTTTCCAAATTTTTATAGAGGAACAATGTTGAATTTTCTCTGAGGGCTTCATTAAGTACCTTGAAATGTATCTTGTGAACATAAATTATGCTGAACTCTGGTTTTCCCAGTCTGTCTTCCACTAATCTGGTTACATCTCCTTTGTTCATCTTCTTTTACTTTTTGTTGAGAACCAAATGCCTTGTTTATAATCATAGCATTTAACCCCAATATTAAATCTTATCAAAACACAGAGTAGTGATCCAATTGTGTTTCACCTAATTTCTTATTCAGTATCAGTTTTGAATTTAAAAAATTAAAATCTAATCAGTTGATTAAGGTTTAAGAACTTTAAATGTCAATTTAATCGTAATTCTTATACTATATCCTACTGAATGCAAAAGTCCTCCTTAAATATTAGATATTTGAGGTGATGAAAAAAGAAATTTAAACTTTGACTTGAGAAGCAATGGGTGAAATTTAGGTGGCCTGAATTTATAATTAATTATAATAAAATGTTGAAATCTTATTCTGCTGGACTCTCTTTAATTATGTTAAAACTGAATTAAGACTGAATTTATTAGTATGTTAATAAGACGTTTTCTCATTCATTCAGCATGAATGACAAACTATGGCCTGCAGATGAAATCGACTGCCTGTTTTTGTAAATAAAGTTTTATTGGATCACAGCCACACATAGGCATTTTTGCACAGCGGCAGAGTAATTGCAAAAGACTGGCCCCAAAGTCTAAAATGTTTACTATCTGGCCCTACTGCAAGAGTTTGCAGACCGTGGTTTACAGCATTATATGATGGTTTATAAACCTTCAGTTTGAAACAAAAGATGTAATCTTTAAGAATTATTTTCATAAAGGGTTAATATTATTTGGAAATGATTGAAAAATACAGATCATTTTTGTGACTTAGTTTTATCTCTATCTTTTCCTAAGTGAAATGGCTTTGTAACTTTAGGGCTGTATATGCTTTCTATAAGATTCAGTTGTTTTTGTTGTACTGACAAAAAATATTTAATACTTCTGGAATCAAGAGAATGAGAATAAAGTGACCAATGGATTTGCAGTTTGTTGGCCAAATAAACCTGACCTTAATTATAAGTAATGTCTTACATATTGGTTGTGCTCTACTGTTTGCAAATTATATCCGCATGTCTTAGAACATGTGATTCACAGAACAGCTTGTTTTCACTTTATAGATGGGGTAAGCAAGGTACTGTGTGTATGTGTGCGTGCACGCATGGGTGTGTGTTGAGTAGTAATCAGAGCCATACAATAAGTGGAAAAACAGAAACTAGAACCCAGTTTTGTATTCTTCTATGCCTAGTCATTTTTCTGTTAACAGTATGCTGCCTCTGCTTTTTCATAGTATAAACGGCATTGGTGCTGAATCAGAAATACTGCAGGGAAATTCATGGAGTTGTTTTAGTAATTGTTGAAACAGTATGATAGTCAATGATTAAGGATATATTCACTATCAATGCAAAGGAAAATACAGTGTTCTTGTCAAAACGTGTGTAGTTAGAATGACCTCTAGATGGAGGTAATATACCGTGTTGTGAATTAACTTTCTTCAGAATTTCCATCAGCCTGTGTATTTGAGAAATAAAACATAAAATTATGTATTTTAAATGAACAGTATTTAAAAATCATATACACACACAAACATAGGTAGAATTGATTGAAAGAAAAGGAGTAATGACCCTTTGGGAGAAAGTGACCAGGTACCTTTGAATTTATGATACATAAAAAGATAGATAATATTTTAAACTTTAAAGAAGCAGATTCCAAAAAAATATGAAAAATGTAACTCTAAGGGCAGATTATTTAAAAAGGAAAATTACATATTTCATATAATTGTATTTATAAATCATGGAGTTTTTTTCCCTTGACTCAGAGTAACTTGGAAAGAATATGTTGAGAGAGCAAAATAAAAGCCTAGAGATGTGCATAAGTAGTTCTGATTTGCAGAAAATAGCAGAAGATAGATTCTACCACTATAGACCAGTGAACATAGCATCTATGCCTTTCATTCCAGCACAAAGAGTTAGATGGGTTGTTTTGTGCATCTCTAGATAAGTGTGTAAGTTGAAAGAGAACCAACATAGATTTTTCTAAAAAGGTGAAATGATTCTGTTATTTATTTATTTAATTAATTAATTTTTTTTTTTTTTTTTGCTAGTAGACTAGGGAAATCGATCCAGTATACCTGGATTGAAGTAAAGCACTGAGGCAAGTTCACTCATAACATTCTTTGGACAAGTAGAAATGTGGTCCAGCTTTGAGTCAGCTGACCCATACTGACTGAACAGTTTGAGGCTTGGTTATTCAACAGATCAGTGTCAGTCTGGGGGTGATTCTAGGGCCAGATCTGTATCTTGGTCCCCAGTGTATTCAGTAATTTTGTTGATGGGGGAAGAGATAGAAAGTATGCTTATAAAAGTTACAGAGAACACAAAATTAGGAGTAACAGGGTATATGATGGATGACAACAGTAACTCAAAAGATTTTAACATGTTGAAAAAGATACCTAACAAGTTATGATTTAATAGAAATAAATATGAAAGGAAGGATGGAGAGAAAGGTATCAAAAATGACTAAGGATAATAGGGAAATATAGAAATTTGAATAAAGTATAGATTTTAGTTAATAGTGTATTAATATTGGTTCATTGTGACAATTTTGTATCAATATTGTATATCAATGTTGGTACAGTTTTGACAAATGAACTGTAGTAAGGTAAGATGTTAACAATAGGGAAAAACAGGAGAAAAAAAAAAAAAAAAAAAAAAAAAAAAAAAAAAAAAAAAAAAAAAAAAAAAAAAAAAAAAAAAAAAAAAAAAAAAAAAAAAAAAAAAAAAGAAAACTAGGTGTGGCATATAAAGAAATTGTACTATGAGAATTTTTTTGTAAATTCAAAGCTATTCTAAAAGTATATTTAAATAGAAAGTGGCCTAAAGTTTTAAGTCCAGATAATTTGGAAAAGGATAATGCCCATGACAAAAAGAGAGAGTCTGGGGAGGTAGTTGTGTTGAATTTGGAAGGATTAGAATTGTTACCCAAATTGGAACTCGTTGGGAGGAATGATTGAACAGAATGGCAGAGACCGTTTCAAAATAACACAGTGAATAAACAATTTGAATAGTCCTACTTCTGTTGAAGAAATGGAATAAATAATTAATAACTTTCCAAAACAGAAAGCATCAGGATCAGACGGGGTCATTGGTAAATTCTACCAAATATTTAAGGAGAAAATTATACCAATTACATAAGATAGAAGTAGAGGGTACACTTCCTAACTCATTGTTTGAGTGTAGCATTACCCTAATACCAACATCAGACACTAGAAGGAAACTGTAGTAGACCAGTATCTCTCCTGAACATAGAAGCAAAAATCTTCAATAAAATATTAGCAGTTTGAATCCAACAATATATAAAAAGAATGACATAACCAAGTGAGATTTATTCCTGGTATGCAAGGCCAGTTCAACATTTGAAAATCAATTACTATAATCCATCACATTAACACACCAAAGCAGAAAAAATCACATGATTATTTTAACAGATGCAGAAAAAGCATTGGACAAAATCTAACAGTCATTCATAATGCAAAGAGAGAAACTCTCAGCAAACTAGGAATAGAATGGAATTTCCTCAACTTGATAAAAAAAGCAACATTTACAGGAAACATACAGCTAACATTATGCTTCATGGTGAGAAACTTGCTTTCCAACCATTAAGAAACTAAGATCAGGAGCAAGGCAAGGATGGTCCCTCTCACCACTGCTTTTCAACATTATACTGAAAGTTCTAGCTAATGCTATATAACAAGAAAAGGAAAAAAAGGTATGCAGATTGGGAGGGAAGAAATAAAATTATTTCCAAATGACATGATTGTCTTTGTAAAAACAATTTTTTTAAAATATCTTGGAATTAAGCAATTATAACAAGGTTGCTGGATTCAAGGTTAATGTACAAAAGTCAATCAGTTTCCTCTATACCAGCAATGAAGAAGTGGAGTTTGAAATTAAAAACATATTACTATTTACATGAGCACCAAAAATATTGAAATACATAGATGAAAATGAACAAAGTATGTACAAGATCTCTATGAGAAATGCTTAACAAATATTCAGCAGGCGAATGAATAAAACTATGTATATCCATTCAATGAAATATTATTCGGGGCTAAGTAGAAATGAGCTATCAAGGCCATGAAAAGACATGGAGGAAGCTTAAATACATATTACTAAGTAAAAGAAGGCAATCTGAAATGGCAATATACTATATGGTTCCAACTATATGACATTCTAGAAAAGACCAAACTATGGAGACAGTAAACGGATCAGTGGTTGCCAGGGGTTGCGGGGAGGGAGGGATGAATAAGCAGAAAACAGAGGATTTTCACAGGAAGTAAAACTTCTATGTAATACATTACAACAGTATACACATATCATTATACATTTGTCAAAACCTGTAGAATATCAAACACCAAGTACAAACCATACTGTAAACTATGGACTTTGGATGATATTGACGTGTCAGTGTAGGTTCATCAGTTTTAACAAATGTACCACTGTCAGGTGGGATGTTAATAGTGGGGGAAGTTGGCCAGGCATGGTGGCTCATGCCTGTAATCTCAGCACTTTGGGAGGCCGAGGTGGGCAGATCACCTCAGATCACCTGAGGTCAGGAGTTTGAGACCAGCCTGGTCAACATGGTGAAATCCCATCTCTACTAAAAATACAAAAATTATCCAGGCATGGTGGCACATGCCTGTAGTCCCAGCTACTTGGGAAGCTAAGGCATGAAAATCGCTTGAACCTGGGAGGCAGAGGTTGCAGTGAGCCAAGATCGTACCACTGCACTCCAGACTGGGTAACAGAGCGTGACTTTGTCTCTAAATAAATAAATAATAGTGGGGGAAGTTGTGGGGGCTAGGATAGGAGATATATGGGAATCCTCTGTACTTTCTGCTCAGTTTTGCTGTGAACCTAAAAGTGCTCTAAAACGTAGTTTATTAATTTTTTAAATAAAAGAACATAGGCCTGAGGCAACAATAACAGTTTTTATAAAACAGTTTGAGAGTCATTTTTTGTCAATCTGCTTTTCTTGAATTTGAAATCTCTGGAAAGATTTATTGTGGATCTAGAGAGGTACATGAAATTCAGTCTGATTTTAGAATTTGTGAGTAGTAGTGTATCCTAATCTAGTTAAGTTCTGAGGTTGTTTTTAATAGGTTGGTATGGTCTTCCTCCTTGCTTCTACTATAGCAGATTCTGCTGATTATACAGAAACTGGAAACAGAGATCAAAAAGGTCATAACTGAAAAGTGGCCATTTTATTGGTTGTGCATAGGTGGTATGGATTTGTGTCTGGGAATGGTCTTACTGTTCCAAATTAAAATTGTTCACTTTTTTTGTACTTGGAAGTTATGTGTATTCACAGAAATGACTGAGATAAATAGCATCTGAAGTTATATTTTTCATCTTAGTTATTATGATAATGCAAGTAAAAATTAACACCTACTCTTGAAATATTTAAGTAAATGGATATTTTACCTTAGACAAAAACACTCTGAAATACTTCAAAGATTTTTGTACAGATAGAAACACTCCGAATGTGAAAAGCAACGTATCCTCAATTTTTCCAGTAAATAAGCAAATTGCGGAACAAATATTGCACGCAACTTAAAGTCAAATAATTATTTGTGTAAATTTTGTATTCCCAGTGAAAACAAATGACCGATGGGATGCACTATTCTAGTAATGCAGTGTTTCCAGGAAGGGTTGAAGGAGAAGGGGAAATCTTTTGAAAAAGCATATTTTAAAATTACCTTTGATTTTGGTTTAATCATGGTATTTATTTGCATATTCATATTAAAGGAGCTCATGAAATTTTAAGTTTTTTAAAAGAGGGGATGAATTTTTTAAGTTGACTTTAACTGTTTTTAATGTTATAAATCTGTTGACTATATTTTTTCTAATTTAATACTTAAAATGATTAGACTTTTTCTGAGAATTTCTTCATGACTTTAATATTGATGATGATGATAGTGGCAGGTAGCTTTTATTGAAACTCCCTATGTCCTGGGCACTGTTCTAATCACATTACCTGTTTTAGCTTATTTTACCCTCACAATATACATATAAATATTGTTAGTATCCCCAGTTATAGGTGAGAAAACTAGCCTCATGTTAATGTCAAGTATTTATTATTGTTAGGGCCCTTATATGAATACTCTTGTTAAATATGAATGAATGTTTTAGAGTTTCTTTTAATGTTATGTTTTGGTAGCATTTTATTGAAAATTTACACAGTGGCCACTGTTTTTATCCTTTTCAGGTATGCAGTTTTGTGTGGCTATGTATCTGAGTTTGAGGGTTTACAAAACAAAATCAACTATGGACACCTCTTCAAGGTATTTCTTTTTTTTTTCATATTTCTTTTCAGATCCAGACTTATGGAAGGGTATTTATTAATAATAAAAATGTTTTAATGTAGCCATATGTTCCATCAACAGACATAAACCAGATTATTCAACAGATTAAGCTCTGGGAATTTGCTTTTTTGTTTAAACATCAGAAAATGAAATATGATACTCTTTAAATAGTGCTATGACAAAAAGAATTATTTGGGTGATTAAAGATTATTATTAGTTCAGATTCTGAAAGAAGTCACAGAGTAGATGAGTATTACCTTTTCAAAGATTAAGAATTAGCCAGCGGGTGCAGTGGCTCACACCTATAATTGCACCACTTTGGGAGGCTGAGGCGGGTGGATCACTTGAGGCCAGGAGTTTGAGACCAGCCTGGCCAACATGGTGAAACCCCATCTCTACTAAAAATACAAAAATTAGCCAGGTGTGGTGGTGGGCACCTGTATTCCCAACTACTTGGGAGGCTGAGGCAGGAGAATTGCTTGAACCAAGGAGGCGGAGGTTGTAGTGAGCCGTGATCATGCCACTGCATTCCAGCCTGGGCAACAGAATGAGACTCTGTCTCAAAAAAAAAAAAAAGTCTTTTGGTCATAAGCTCAATAACAGCATGAGTGTGACCAGCACTAAGTAGTTAACAATCTCTGCATATTGATTTGGTGGCGGAAAAGTAGGTTCCAATCTAGGATTTAAATTTGCCATGATAGACAAATAAAGTAAGTAATCCACACACACACATAATGTATTATTTGCCTCCATAGCTCAATACATAACCCTCAATGTCAATAATTACAGAGATGAGTAAACATTTCTTCCCTATTTTCTAGCTCCCTATAACCATTTGATAATGCCAAAGGATTAGATTTCTCTCCCATCTAACTCTTCTGTTTTTTTCTGCCATTATCCCCTTTTCCATGTCATTTGATATTTGTAAGCTCACCTCAGAATCAGTAACTATTCACTAGTTAAGTCATAGGTAGGCAAACATATGACTTTGGTGTTTTCTAATTTTATAACAGTATTTTGGCTTTAAATTACACATAGCTTTATTAAATCCTAGTCACAGTTCCGGTTCTGGTTGTAAGCAATCATTTTGGTAATTTAATTATTCATAAGATTTCATTGTATTAATGATAGAGATGGCGAGGACTGAGACAACATTTTAAAACCACTTTTGAGTTACGAGGCTGTGGTGTAGTTCCATTCAACAATATCTGAAACTTGGGAGATGATTTTCCTTTGGATGCTTCTTTCAGGAACATCTAGATATAGCAATCAAACTTTTACCAGAGGAACCCTTTCTATATTACCTCAAAGGAAGATACTGTTATACTGTAAGTTGAATGCCTTTATTTATAAACTTTATTTGAATGTAGTATGATTATAGGATAAATTTTCAATGACTTATTGTTTTATTTTTACCCAGTGCCTACTTTAGGGAGAATTATAATAGCAACATAAATTTTATTTTAATATATAATACATATGTTAAAATTGTATGTGAATTTATAATTTATACATTATAATTTTAAAATCTATAATCTAGGTATTTTATAATCTATAAACTTGTAATTTATATATATTTGTATGTTATATGCCATGTTTTATATATGTGTGACCTTTTTCTTTCGTGCTCTTTCATTTCTTTTTGCAGTAGTCACATTCCCTCCCTTTGTAGATATCTCAGTTTGGGATCAACCATCCACACACATGCCCTGTGTCTAGGTCACTACTCACGGTTCTGTAGGAGGACTTTTTTTCATCCAGTAGTGTATACTGAGCACAAATTATGTGCTAACTAACTGGCCAGAGATGAATAAAACACTCCTTGCTTTTAAGGAACTTAATTTGGAAGGGTTACGCGACATATATAGCTCAAATAAAAGCAGTTGGTCCATGTCTTAAATGACACTATTAGTTTATAGAAAATTACAGAATGTGAAAATGTATCTTAAGAATATGTGAAAAAAATTATTGTGAAAGGACAATGCCATTTTTGAATGATAAAATTAGGGTAGGCAAAGAGATAACTTCTTCACTGCAGCTGAAAGAGAATTAGAGGTGAAGAAAGAAGTTTGCTTTTATTGAACGCCTGCTCTATGCCAAATATGCATTCTGTCCTTTATATTTCTTGTTGCATTTCATCCTTAAAACACTGCTATGAAGCAGTTGTTATTATACCAGTTTTAAAGATTAAAAATCTGAGTCTTCATGATGTTAAGAACCTTCCCAAAGTCCATTTAACTGGTCAATGAAAGAGGCAGCATTGAAATTCAAATTTAATTCCAAAATTTATGCTCTTTATATTGTGTTATATACAAAGAAAACTTACATTTTGTTAAGGAAAAAGGAGTAAAGGTATATCTGTTTTTCTCATTTTTTCCTAGTTGTAAGACGGCAAAGTCAAATAATAGAATGACACTCAAATTTTTATAATCTACTTAATGCTGTAAAATACACAATGATGCCTTCATGCTGTGAAATATTGTACTGTTGAGTACACTACTAATTTGCTAAGGTTGTATTACCTCCCAACAACTCACATGTTTTACTTACTGTTTATTTTCTGTTGATCCAAAGTTATCTCAAAGAGTTATTTCTTCAAGGAAAGAGTCCACATTTTACACTTTTTGATAATTTTCTTTCAGCATCTAGTTCAGTTTTTTGGCAATTAAAATAAGCTGCTTCTACAAGAATTTGTTGTTTAAATGATTGATTCACTAAAACTAGAGAAAAAGTACAAAAATCAAAGAATATGAAAAGCAGTAGTAATAATGGCTAACATGTACATGGCTCTTGTAAGCATTTTATGTGACTGTAAACATTTTATATATTGTAGCTCACTCACTTTTTCAAAAACCCTATAAGGTTAATAAGGTCAATAATTTGCCCAGAGTCACTCAGCTAATAAGCAGTAGATAATAAGTAGAACAGGATTCAAACACAGGCAGTTTGTTTCTCTTTTTCTTTTCTTTTTTTCTTTTTCTTTTCTTTTTTGAGACCACGTCTTGCTCTGTCACCCAGGCTGGAGTGCAGTGGCATGATCTCGGCTCACTGCAGCCTCCACCTACTGGATTCAAGTGATTCTCTTGCCTCAGCCTCCCGAGTAGCTGGGATTACAGGTGTGTGCCACCATGCCCGGGTAGTCTTTTTTTGTATTTTTAGTAGAGATGGAGTTTCGCCATGTTGGCCAGGCTGGTCTCACACTCCTGGCCTCAAATGATCCACCCGCCTTGGCCTCCCAAAGTGCTAAGATTACAGGCATGAACCACTGCACCTGGCCCAGGCAGTTTGCTTCTAAAGTCTTTGCTCTTAACTAGTAAGCTCTACTGCCTACAAATTATAAGTATAGGTAATGAATATGAATTGTGGGAGAGGAAGTTGGAACTCTTTCCATCAGGGGGAATCAGCTTCCGCCAAGGTAATAAAGCACGTATGAGCAAATGTGTAAAGAATGTTTCCAGCATATGCAGAATAGAGAACTCAAAATTTTCTGGACACACAATATCTTAAAGTGTGTGTTAGCTTGAAGTGTGTATGTCTATTTCTAATCAGGTCAGTGAAAGAACCTACAGAAAAAAAATAAATAAAATAAAATAAAAATAAAATAAGAACCTACAGAAAAATAAATAAATAAAATAAAACAGCCAAAGGCCAGAAACAAAGCAAGAATACCAGTTCCAAGGACTGGTAAACCAACTTGAAACCACCTCATAGTCAGGGGCGTTTACCAAGGTTGGTAACCTAAAGCTTAGTCTGCAGACCTTTGTTGGGTTTGGGGGACTACAGACCTGAGCAGAGCAGAGAGCAGCTTAAAGACTGCCACAAATATACGGGACTCAAAAAAGTACAATGGCCGGGGGGCGGAAAAGATGAACTTAAATGAAATTTATTCAGCAGAAGCTTATTAGCAGTGAAAATTCATTTTCAGCTGTAACAATTGGGAAGATAGAGCTGAAAAGAGGAAATGCTCCTAAGATTTAAAAGCCATTTACCAACCTCACAAGTTTCTGGAACTTCAATGTGCATTACCTGTCTAGGCTTAAAAGCCCAAGAAAGAAATTTTTATTCAAAATGGACTCTGATCTTCATGCCATAGAGAAATGGCAAAAGCACATGCCAATCCTCTGTAGAAGAAGGTACCTTTAGATAGACTTTGTAAAACTTTCACAGAAAGTATCCCAACAACGATGAGTTCACAGTCAAAAATTATAGACTATACAAGGAAACAAACGAACAACAATGACAGCAGAAAACAAAACAAAACAAAAAACCAGCAGTGGACCTAAAAGGACTTCAGATTTTGGAAATATGGGATACAGAATATTAAATATCTACATATAATGTGTTTTTTAAAATAAGAGGAATTGGCAGGGGATAGATGAACAGCATAAGCAAAATTCAGTCCTGCTTTTTGAAAATAAACTGTTTGTTATGGCCATGTAACAGGACAAGCTAGAACTTTCAAAAGGACTTGACAGCTTTTCTCTTACTCCAGGATGTCAGGCAGTCTTTATAACATTACCTATGCTAATTACAGCATTTTGTCTAACACCTATTATAGCCATAAAATTAAATCGAAAAGATGAAAACTAGAAGTATTTCCACATATGTTTGACTGTTTTCCAGATCACATTTCAATTACTTCACAAAAGAAAGTCTGTGAGTGGTAAGCAAGCATATGAAAAGATATTGGTCATCAGTAGTCATTAGAAAAATGCAAATTAAAACCACAGAGAAAGACTGCTTGCTATATATTCACTTTTTAAAGGGGCTAAAATTTAAAAGATGGCAATAGCAAGTACCAGCAAGGATATAAAGCAATTGAAACTCACATGTTTCAATGGGAATATGTGAATAATGAATATATGATCAATTCCTAAGTATTCACCAAGAGAAATGAAAATATATGCTCACACAAAGACTAGCATATAAATTTTCATAGCAACTTTAGCAGCATAGCAACATGCATGACTCTTCAAAGTGTTATGCCAAGAAAGCTCACAAAAGACTACCTAATTGCATTGATATGAAACTCTAGAAAAGGCAAATTATAGTCAGATCAGTATTTGTCTAGGGCTAGGAGCAGGTTAAGGAGACTGACAGCAAAGGGGTATGAGAGAACTTTTTAGGATGATGAAAATGTAGTATATATTGATTGTTGTGGCAGTTACAGGATCGTATGCATTTATCAAAACTCATAGAACCGTACACTTCTAATGGAGGAGATTTTATGTAGATTATACCTCAATAAAGCCAATTTTAAAAATACATAATGACCGATAAACATAGATAGTAAACATGTAGAAAAGTTATATCAAATAGTAAGCAAATAAATAATAATCAAACTAAACCGTATATATATATATATATATATATGGTTTCAGGCTTCTGTTGGGGGTCCTGGAATATACTCCATGAAGAAGAGGGGATGACTACTGCTACTACTACTACTACTACTACTACTACACACACACACATACATTTTAAGGCAAAAGTATATCTAGAGATAAAGAGCATAACTATATAGAAAGTTTAGTTCACAAGGAAAGTATTTATAAACTAGTGTGCTTCTAATGACAGCCTCAGAACTATAAAATAAAAATTGACCAAATTATAAGGATAAATGTACAGCTCAACCATATACTGGTAGTTTCACCCACCCCTTTAGGTAATTAATGGAACAAGAAAACATAAAAGTATTAGTTTGTAAAACATGCCTCACATTTAACAAGCCTGATCTAATAATTATGAAGCCATGTGGCTAACCATTGGAGAATGGACATCTTTTCAAGCATATGCAGAATGTGTACTAAAATGGACCATATATGAGGCCGGGAAACAAATCTTAATGTATTTCAAAGAATTGATGTCATGCAGTTTTTCTGACCATAATGCAATTAAACTAAAAATTTAAAAAACAAAGTTATAGAAAAATGATAATAAAAACCCCAAGTAGATGCCATTTGATTCCTACTCATTTTATAAAAATTTTAAAATCTCAGTATGAGGTGTTGCAAGGATATGGAGCAGCAGGAATTTTTACATTGCTGTGGAAACATAAATCAGCATGACTACCTTGGGAATCATTGAGTAGTGTCTTTTAAATTTGAATATTTGCCTGCCATGTGATCATGCCTACCCACAGAGCCTCACAAATGTGCTCCAGAAGGCATGTGCAAGAATGGCTATGGCAGCCTTGGTCTTAAGAGCAAAAAAATGAAAAAGACCCAAATGTCCATTGACAAAAGAGTGGATAAAAACATTGCTGATGTCTGTTGAAATGATGAAATATTTCCGTTATTTAAATGACTGAACTTCAGTCATACTCATTATCCTGGATGAAATCTTAGAACCATACCATTAAGTGAAAAAGTAAGTCATATAGGAAATAAGCAGTATATTACTTTTTACAAAGTTCAAAGCAAAGCAAAAATAAGCATATCAATATGAAAAATTATGTCAAAAAATAAGGAAATAATTTTTTAATTAAAGGATAATGAACTGGGTGAGGTGGCTTATGCCTGTAATCCTAGCGGTTTGAGAGGCTGAGGCGAGAGGATCTCTTGAGCCCAGGAGTTCAAGACCAGCCTGGACAATATAGGAAGACCCTGTCTCTACAAAAAATTTTAAAAAATTAATTGGGCATGTGATGCACACCTGTATTCCCAACTACTCAGGAGGCTGAGGTGGGAGGATTGTTGAGCCCAGGAGGTCGAGGCTGCAGTGAGCCATTATCATACCACTGCACTCCAACCTGAGCAACGAGGTGAGACATTGTCAAAAAAAAAAAAAAAAAAAAAAAAGGATATTGGCTACCGAGGTATCTAGATGATGGGACTGAGAAGGAAGATACTTTATGGGTTTGGACAGAGCATCAACAGGGTCAATACCCTCAAGTTTCATTTTTGAGCCAGCTTAATCTTTTAGAATGAACATCTAATATTTATATTTGGGGAAAAAGGAAAACTTTTTAGAAGAAAGCGAAAAATCAATGGTAATATGAAATTTCGTTTTGGTGTTTATTGATTCTTTAAAAAATCTTCAGGATTGTAAAATATGTATGGTGGGTCCCCATTCCCCACTCCTTCTGGCTTGAGAATCCCTATTCTATTTATATTTCTGAGATGCTACTTCTGGGTCAGGAGGCCAGTTGGCAGCATGGAGTAGGCAGAAGGAGAGCAAAGGCAGTCTTGTAGCCCCTATGTGCTGTATGAAGAAATACACCATAGTTGCCTCAGAATCCAGAATCAGATGAACAAACAGGATCGGCATTATTTCCCACCCCATCCCTTTTTCCTCTGATTCGACATAAATCTTCTTATCAAAAGTATTTCAAGTTGGTTTTGAAACCAGTACTTTTGGACCCCATGGTACCTTAGAATTGTGAAAAAGGAAGGTAAAATATTAACATTAATGCCATGAGGGTGGTAGCTCTAATATATATTATTTATGGATATATATTTACATTTGTATATGTTATATCTATGTACACACACACATGTATATACATATAACACACACACATCTAACTGGGGAGAGAGAATCCATTCAAAAGGTGAACAACTTTCTAAGAGTGATATTGTTGTGTATTTGCAGGTCTCAAAACTGAGCTGGATTGAGAAAAAAATGGCTGCTACTCTGTTTGGAAAGATACCATCTTCAACTGTGCAAGAAGCTTTACACAATTTCCTTAAGGTACATTTTGTCTATTCATTATTTTAGTGTCAGACTGATTACCCTCTGCACCAATCCCTGCTACCATTGTCAAGGAAATCTTTTCTCCATGTAGAGCCTCAGTTTGAATCCTAGTTTTGGCATGTTCTGTTTTAAGCCCCTCATAATGCAAGTTATTAATATGTTTTAAGTCTAAACTCCTTAGAACAGCTAGTTATGCCCTAGGTTCTAGGAATTACAAACTACTTTTTAAAAATAACTCAGCAGCTTAAATGAAGGTTTAGGTATGACAGCCCTTACTACTAAGTCCAAGAACAGCTCTCTGAGTCATGTGAGCATATGCAGAAACAGTCACGCCCTGATGGTTAGACTTAGTCCCAGTACTCCTGATTAGCCTAACACAGAACCAGTTTAATCTTAAAGAAATAAAAGTGCCAAAAGGAGGAGTTATTTTAAAAGCTACCTCCTAAAGTTGCAGACATTTCTCTGGAAGATTCTTGGGATATCAGACCAAATCAGTATTCTCAATCCTGTCTTAAAATGTATAATCGCTGTACTGTACAACTCTAAGCAGTAATATATGTGTGTGTGAGCACACATGTAAATGTATAATATAGCCACCCATATAATCAACTTCCTGTTGGGGTAGTAATCCCTTTACCTTTCTCTGGAACCAACTTCAAAATTTTATAGTTACTAAATGTGTTTTCCTTCCCAACCTACCTACTTCAAGTTTATAAAAATGCAGACAAGGCTGCATGCGGTGACTCACTTCTGTAATCCCAACACTTTGGGAGGCTGAGGTAGGAAGATTGCTTGAGGTCAGGAGTTTGAGATCAGCCTGGGCAACATAGCAACACCCCAGCTCTACAAAAAGTAAAAAAATTTTCTGGGCATGGTGGCATAACTACAGTCCCAGCTACTCAGGAGGCTGAGGCAGGAGGATCACTTGAGCCCAGTAGTTCAAGGCTGCAGTGAGCCATGGTCGCACCACTGCACTCCAGCCTGAGCAAAAGAGCATGACCTTATCTCAATAATAATAATAATAATAATAATAATAATAATAATAAAAAAAGTCTTGTGCATGCTAATATTTGTGCTGTACCTCAGGGATCAGTTTTGTAGAACTGAGAGGGAATTTGTAGATCATGTAGTCTAAGATGGTGAGTAGGTTTCTTCTCACTTTCTATCTGTCACCCCCAATGGCCAGTGGCTGCCTCAAGTGAAAAAGTAAGTGTCCTGAAATCAAGCACACAAGCCCAGTAGAAAAGAGTTCAAAAAATAAAAAAGAAAAGGGCTGTACATTTCTTGTTTTTTATGTAATTGATCCCTTTTTTTGTTTTATAAAAAGGGAGTCAAGACCTCAGGAACTTAATTTGTTCCATTTCACACAATGGCAATCAAAGATTTGGTTTAAATATGAGTGAAGGCTAAGACTGTATCACTCCCATGTCTTCACCTTTTTCCTACCACTGAAAATTAGTTCCCTCATTTTAAATTGTATAAGAATGTAGATTATGATCTATTTAAGATAAAATATTTATATAAAAGATGCCACGTTAACTAGCAAAAATATTATCTGTACTCAAAACTCATTTCCTCATAATATCAAAGTTGTAATTGAGGAGCAGGTTTTCAGAACACTGTAGAAAAGTTCTTGAGATGCTAATGTGCCTGAAATAATACACAGATAAAATCAAAAGTGGGTAAGTAGCACAATAATGTTGAGGTAAAGAATGCAAATTTTGGAAACAGACTACCTGGTTAAATCTCAGCTCTACCACTTACCAGCTGATTAACATTGGGCAAATTGCTTAATATCTCTCTCAGTTTAATCAATAACATGGAGATAATAGTACTTACCTCACAGTGGTGTTGTAAGGATTATCTACATTCCTACAAGTAAATTGCTTAGAGTGTGCCTAGCACCCAGTAGTCCTCAGCAAAAATTCACAGAATTTTAATTTCATTAAAATTTAAACACTTCAGCAAACCATCTTGGGGAGCCCCGCATTAGGTCATTACTTAGACTTTAGTCTCAAAATGCATTCCATGTTGTTTGTCAAAGGAAAGAGAAGAGGCATCGGGAATGCTTCTTGCCATATTTACTAGAACAGCTGAGGGGACTGAGGGGTCTGGAGTGCTGAGGCTAAGGCTGTGGTGGAACTAAGAAATCTGGGAGGTGGAGGAGAGGAAAGGGAAACAGCACAGACCCTGGCTCCCACATCCAGGAGAGTCTGCAACCCCCTAGGTCCTACAACACAGCAGGCCGTGTTGTTAGGACCCAGACTGTAGGACTCCTGCCCCGAATTCATCCCTCCAAAGAGCATTCACAGGGGCCAGGAATGTATCTCTAGAACCATCCAGCTGGGTCCCATAGAGGTTGAGAACACTGAGTTTAGAGTTAGATGAGTGAAGTTGAGACCTGAGCCTTTCCTATCTGAATGACCTGGACACATTTCCTTAGTTCTCCCACTCTCAAATTCTTCATCCGTGAAATGGCCATAATAATACCTACTTTGTACAGTTTTTGTGATGGTTACAAAAATAATGTATTTTATATTCTTGGCCCAGGGTCTAACATGTTAAATGTTCTTTCTAAAAATCAATGTTAGCTACTATTGTTTTGCTATTATAGAAGGGGAAGATTGGCCCTCCACAGCCTCAAAGCATCTAGGAAGGTGGGTTAGACACCTGTAGGAATGAATCGTCTGTGAATCCCCTGGGGAAATTCTTTCAAACTAGAGCATGCTTCCCACCTCATCCAAAATGCTGCCATGATTCCCTAGGGCAGTGGTTCTCAACCTTGGCTGTGCATTGCAGTCATCTGGGGCACCTTACAAAATGGCAGCCCAGGCCATGACCCAGACTCATTGTTTCAGAACCTCTGGGTATCTTGAAGTATAGTTTATAAGCAATAAATTGTACCCATTTTAGGTGTACAGTTCAGTGAAGTTTGACAAACTTATATACCTATGTAAACACCACCATTTCTTTTTTTTTTTTTTTTTTTTTTTTTTTTTTTTTTTTTGAACGATCTCACCTTGCCAGGCTGATGCATGCCGATTCCACTGCAAGCTCCGCTCCGGTTCCCATTCTCCTCACCTGATACTGGATACAGCCGTATTTTATTTTTAGAGGATTACTTGTTCTTCCTTTTATCCCCCCTCCCTCCCCTTCCACCCGCCCCCCCCCATTCAGATTTTCATTATCCTAGAGAGTTATCTTTGTCCCTTTGCTGTCAATTTCCCCCATCTCCTGCCCCAGGCAACCACTGATCTGCTTTCTATCACTGTAAATTAGTTTTGCCCATTCTAAAATTTAATATAAATTGAATCACACAACATGTAATTTTGTGTATATCTGGTTTGTTTTACTCAGCATACTGTTTTGAGATTCATTCATTTTATTGAGTGTATCAGCAGCTCCTTTTCATTGCTGAGTAATATTCCATTATATGGTTATACCATAATTTGTTTATGTGTTAACTTACCGATAGACATTTGAGTTGTTTCTAGTTTGATGCTATTTTCAATAAAGCTTCTGTGAACATTCAAATGCAAGTTTGGTGTGAACATATTTTATTTCTCTTGGGTGAGCACCTAGGGGTGGAATTGTTGGGTCATATGGTATGTGCTTTTAAATCTTGATCAGTGTTTTTAAAGATCATAAAGCTATTGATTCCAATGGCAGCTGATGGCATGGCTGGAAACCACTGGATCAGAGGATGGGCGTGTGTGGTAAATGACAGGTGTGGCAATGTTGGGAGACAGGCTACCCTGATTGCACTTACTGTTTGCAATCATATGATCCCTGAGTCTGTACTAGTGGCTTCCCCAGCTGCAGAACTCTCAGCTGTGTCCTGATATGGTATAAGGCTGCTGCTTGAGCTTATAAGATGTTTTAAAGAAGAGCTAATTTATTCAACAGTGTTTATTAAGCACATAACTAGTGCCAAACATGGCATCAAATACTGGGAACACAGAAATGACCAACATAGTTCCTGTCTTCAAGGAACTTGGATCGCCAAGACAAATTAAATATGTGTAATATTCTTTGCCAGGTGTTATGATAAAGAGTGTTCTAAGGGCCTCTTTAGAAACTGCCTCATCATTGGAACATTACATTGAAACATTAGCATTTGAGTAATGCTACGCTCCTTGTAATTCATCCAAGGCCTTTTATGAAAGGTCAGAATCTGTTTTACCTTAGGAATTCAGTGTTGTTAGTTGCCTGTCTGTGTTCTGTTGGGCTTCAGTTTTTCAAACCATGAGAACAAAAAGAGGTGTTCTTATTTATAATCACTTTAGTTTACTAAACATAGGTGTTAAGGTATATATGCAGAATTAGAATGCCAGTACTAAAGAAATAAGCTCTTTACATGCATACATTGGGGCAAGTTGTCCCCAATATGGGATTCGGACAGAGCTGAGGCAACTACCAGGCATAGAAGAAGGTATAATTGAATAAAGTTCAGTCTTAAGTCCCTCTTATTAGAATGGCTCAAGAAATTCTCTTACCAAACTAGAAGCCTTGAAATGGAGATGATTAGACAAGAGAGAAGCAGAAGAACCAGAATCCATGGATGGCACTATAGGATGGTCAAGGCTCTGGCTTGATTGAAATTGACAACTTCCTTTAATCTGTTGGTAGCTTTGCTGTCTCTCCAGCAGGTTTCATTCCATGCCCAGACACTGTTAAGTTACCTGATTTTAAAGTTTTATACCGAGTCTGGCTCCCTACCCTAGGAGATTTTTGTCCTCCTCCTTCTAGAACCTTCTCTTTTGGATTCTGTGCAGAATAAAATGTCTTTTAAAAGGGATGTGCCCTCGTAAGGTGTTGGACCACTCCTCAGCACCCTGATTTGGATTTATCTTCATTAGTATCTCTTTAAAATATATATATATTATTTTGATTCAGCTATTCAACTTCTGGGAATCTCCCTTATAGGCATAAACACACATATACACAAACATATGAGAAAAAGTATGTTCATTGATTATTAGTAGCGATAATGAAAATGGAGAATAAATTAAGATGTCCAATGGGAAATGCTTCCTTTCATTATGATTCATGCAGAATATGAAATACAGCTCTTAAAAATGATGAAGTGTATCTATGCTAACATGAAAATGTGTTTGTAATATGGGGAAAAAAGTCTAGGGCCAATATGTAGATTTTCTATCAATGTGCACATTTATTCAGTTTTATGTATTTATTTGTATTTTTCTAGCTTTACTGAGGTATAATTGACAAGAATTATATATATGTAAATTATATATATATGTAAAATGGTTCCATTTTGTTTCATTTTCAAAAGCCAAATATCTGTTTTTTTATTTGCCTATACTTGGCAGAGTCTGGTAGGATGCATGTCAAACTGCTGATAGTGGTTACCCCTGGGGCATGAGATTGAAGTTGAGAATAAAACTAGGAAGGAGAAATTTTCACTTTTTAATTTTGGAAATGTCTGGATTGTTCATATCTTGTGAAACAAGGATATTTTTGTAAATATTTAAAAGCATCCTCTTCTCTTGTGTTCTACCCCGCTCTAGGGTGGAGACTCCAGGTTGTAAGCTTGCTTGCCTGGGCCTTCAAAACAGCAAAAGCTGACTCTGAAGCAAGACTGACTTAGGTTCTAAGAAGAGCTGTCTAGTAACAATCCCACACCTGAAAGAATTCTTGTTTCCCAGAGATAAAGTAAAGGAACTGGTACATAACAAGACTGACCTAGGTTCTAAGAAGGGCTGTCTGATAACAATACCATACCTGAAATAATTCTTATTTCCCAGAGATAAAGGAACTGGTACATAGATTAGTAGATAATAGAAAAGTACCTTTATAATACCCACTCATGTCTACTACCTGGATTGGTTATTTCAAGGATCTGTCTTTCCTTTAAAAGTCCATGATTTGATGGACTTCAGATATTATTTAACTCCTGTGGAATATGTTGAAATCATAAGAAATCAAATATTAATCTAGTGGAAGATGCTTGCCATGGGGTACCAGTCATGCTCTACTCTCATTTTCTAAATAGATAGTGAGGCCAGGAGTGGTGGCTCATGCCTGTAATCCCAGCACTTTGGGAGGTCAAGGGGGATGGATCACCTGAGGTCAGGAGTTTGAGACAAGCCTGGCCAACATGGTGAAACCCCATCTCTATTAAAAATACAAAAATTAGCCAGGCATGGTGGCAGGTGCCTATAATCCCAGCTACTCGGGAGGCTGAGGCAGGAGAATCACCTGAACCTAGGAGATGGAGGTTGCAGTAAGCTGAGATCGCACCACTGCACTCCAGCCTGGGCGACAGAGCAAGATCCAATGGATGGATGGATGGATGGATGGATGGATGGATGGATGGATGGATGGAGTCCTAGGAATATCACCAGTTGTTTGTTCTTGAAAAGAATAGAGAAAGAAGACTGAGGAAAATTATTATGTAAAGAAACCTCAAAACCATAAAGTATCTCATTGCTTTGTAAGCTTTATGACCATGGTAATAATCAATTTTATTTTAATGGCTAAATGCAAAGGCTATGTTTCCACTCAAAAGATACTTAAACTGATCAAGTGATTCAAATGTGAAACAACCAACCTAAATTCTTACGGCAGTTTGGTTCATAATATTTTATTTATTTAAATATATTTTCTTCATTTGTGGTTATTGTTATTTTAATATTGCCCTCTTATTCTCTCCTGTTTTTCTCTCAAATCAGGCTGAAGAACTATGCCCTGGTTATTCTAATCCCAATTACATGTACTTAGCAAAGGTAATGAAGACCACTGTTCTGCTTTAAGATCACTTTGAACCCGTCACATAAAAACATGATTATGTTTAATATTGGTTATTTCTCATTTCCAGTGTTATGCTGATCTTGAGGAAAACCAGAATGCTTTGAAGTTCTGTAATTTGGCATTATTGCTTCCTACTGTTACCAAAGAGGTAAGTCCAGAAAGTGGCAGTGCTGTTGTCTTATTAGTACTATTCAAGCTCAAAATATGAATAACTTCCTTAGATACGTTTGTAGTTTTCTCTATTCAATTTTATGTATTTATTTTTGTTCTAGCTTTATTGAAGTATAATTGACAAATAAAAACTATATATATACAGCATGATGTTTTGATAGACATATATGTTATGAAATGACTACCACAATCAAGCTAATTAACACATTCATCACCTCACATAGTTACTTTTTTTGTTGTTGAGAACATTGGAGATCCACTGTCTTAGCAAATTTCAAATATACAATATAGTATTATTAACTATAGTCACATTGCTGTCCTTTAAATCTCCAGAACCTATTCATCCTGCATAACTGAAACTGTGTACCCTAGACCAATATCTCCTTATTTCTCCCACCCTCCCAGCCCCTGACAGCCACCCTTCTATTCTCTCCTTCTATGATGGAGTTTTCTTTCATACTAAAACCTTTGACTTGGATTTTACATGTACTATGAAGTTTTAAAATTTGCTGTATCTCTGTAAGATAACCTGTCACCAGGAGGCCCTAGCGGTTAAAGCATCCTGATGCTTGTTAGATATAAGACAGCAGGGAATGAAGCAAGCATAATTCCTTCAGTGGGAAGGAGGTGGCGCAGCATAATTCTGGGGAGCTGAGGATTAACTATATAGGCAACAAACAAGCTAGACAGGTGGCCCAGCCTACAGCAAGGGGAGTGACCATGGGTTGCCATCCTCGGTGCCCAACTCACAGCAGTTATGGCTATCCAAGGCCATGACAAAGATGAAAAATACGTAATAACATGTTTTTGGTTTTTGGACACTGGCCATTAATGAAAAAAACTATTGCCCTGTCGCTTGCCCTTTTATTCAGTAATTCAGGATTCTGGGTATGCTGTAAGTTTCAAGCATTCCACAGGCTTAACAACTCAGTCTGCTCCTATGAGCTGTTGACTGGTGGTGTGGGAACAACAACAAAAAAAATAGGTATATATTTTCCTCCTCTTCTCATACCACCAAACATTATCATCCTCTAAATCATAACAGAAAAGAAATGCCTCAGTAGAAAAAAAAAAAAAAACACCTCCTCTTTTTCTGTATTGGAGCAGTACAGGTTCCAATATTTATTGTGATCTGAACTATAAACAAATAAGACATGCCTGTTGCCTCCTAGGAGGCTATAGCCTAGAAGGGAACATATGGTGTGTGTCCAAATAACTGTAGCTCAAAGCAGAAAGCATGAGGTACTAAGAGAAGTACAAATCCTCAGTTATGGAAATTTTGAAAAAGGAGAAATTATTTTCACCTAGAAGAGGCCAGGTGGCATCAGAGGCAGACTTTGAAAGATCTATATAATATGGAGTTGTGGACAAGTACATTGCACGTCCTGAACAGAGGCACAAAAGAAAGCAAAGCTCTGTTTGCCTGGAGCAAAAGGAATGTGCCCACTTTCCCCGGACCACAGCTGGTGTGTGCCAGCCTCCCAGCCATTCTCCTCCCAGCTTCCTTGCCTCCCGCCAGGCCACTCTTGACTCCCAGTAGCAGCCCAAGCAACAGATTAAGTGTAAACGTCAACATGTCACTTCCCTGCTCAAAACCCTTTGCTGTTAAGATAGGGGTCAGAATTTTCAGCATGTCCTTCAAGGCTCTGATCCAGCTCCTAACAGTCTCTCAAGCTTCATATGTTCCCCGTTCTTCCCTCCACCGCCCAACCTGCCCTTCACCCTTAGAACATACTGTTCCCGGCCGGGCGCGGTGGCTCAAGCCTGTAATCCCAGCACTTTGGGAGGCCGAGACCATCCTGGCTAACACGGTGAAACCCCGTCTCTACTAAAAAATACAAAAAACTAGCCGGGCGAGGTGGCGGGCGCCTGTAGTCCCAGCTACTCGGGAGGCTGAGGCAGGAGAATGGCGTAAACCCGGGAGGCGGAGCTTGCAGTGAGCCGAGATCGCGCCACTGCACTCCAGCCTGGGTGACAGAGCCAGACTCCGTCTCTAAAAAAAAAAAAAAAGAACATACTGTTCCCACTTCCTGAAACACTCCTACCCACCCTCCGCTCCTTTCACTAGCTTTATTCCATCCTGTCCTCCAGGCCTCACCATGAATGCTGTTTCTTCAGGAAAGACTTTCTTGACACCTGCTGGCAAGAAAGCCCCCTATGCTTTTCCTTACTATCATTTCACACAGTTATTATGTCATTATTAATGTGATTGTTCCATGAGAGTAACAACCAGGTTTGTGTCATTCATCACTACACCCCTAATCCTGAATATACTGCCTAGCATATCATAAGCACTCGGTAAGTGTTCATAGAAAGAACCAAGACATTAATATCGTACAAATAAAAATAGTAGTGTCAATAGTAATAATAAAGAAGATGCATAATGAATGTAAGAAGGCTAGACATTGGAAGTATTTCTGTAATAAGCAAAATAGTTTGAACAAATATTTCTCACATTTTTTTTTTCCCTCAGTGATGTCTCCATTTGTATTCTTAGCAATTTTTTTCCAAGTAGTAAGGTATGTAAGGAATATTTCCATTTCTTTTTCAATGAGAAAATAGTATGAAGTGAGTTATGTGTAATACCCCTCCATCTCTATAAAGTTTTTTCAGATTGAAATGTACCCCATTAGTGATTTTGCTAACCAAGTTTATTCATTTCCAAAATGTCTAGCAATGCCACTAGTTACAAGAAGACAACCTAGCCATCAGTTTGCTCTCTCTTGTGAAATTTCATAACATGCTTGTTTCTTTCTTGTGGCATTTATAGCTTCTTCCTTGCATTGTAGTCATTTGTGGACCTGTCTTTTGTCCCCTGTTAGGGAACTCTCAGCTCATCACACTGCTACTTGATATTGGGAGTGTCAGTCATTTGGTCTCTAGAGCCCAGATTCATAGGTGTAAGCAACTTTACATTCCCAGAATTTGGAACGATGGTATTTTTATTATTCATGTGGACTTTTCTTGACCCTAGGAAAGTAATCTCAGATCCTGAGAAACATTTCTTTTTTTAAAAAAGGGATTTATGTGTCTGAGACAGTGTGAGAATGATTGCTGAATGAAATAATGACTTCACTGGCAACCTGAAAATTGTTTGCCTGGAGGCAGTATTAAAGTTCATCAACTTGGAGCCTACTGAGAAAGCTCAAATATAAAAAGCATTATGTAATAATTTTGTTTTATGATAAGAGATGTGCTAAGCTGGTAAAGAAAACCCCATATTTTAAAATTGCTGAAACATTTTGAAATGGCATTAATCACCTTTCTAAGACCAACAGACTCATAGACTAGTAAATCCAATGTTACCAGAAACCAACCACAAAAAGAAGTGCACTCTGGGAGTGCTAAAAGTTAAGAGCTCATTATATTTAGCAAGTGGTATAGTTGTCTTTGAAATGGCCTGTTGATTGAAGTTCTGAGCTGTATTTCTAATCTGTTTTATGAGTTGAGAAGCACAATTCTCATTGGTAACTGCTCTTAGTAACAAAATCCTAATTCTGCTTTAAATGTTCTTTCTGAGTTACGATATGATATTTGATTATCTGAATTAAGACATTGGTTTTCTGGATAGGTTTATAAAACAATTTGTATCCATTCACTCTGCCTTCCTGTTTTAGAAATGCTACTCAGGGTAATAAATGAGTCACTTGCCAAAATCCTGTAATATTGTCTTATTTGCTAGAAATTCTTGTTTGCCCATTTCTTTCCTGTTGAAACTTATTTCTTGTAAATTAACTCATCTGTGCTATCCATGCCTGGAGAATTATTCCTAGTACTTTCTAAAAAATTAATAAGACAGCCAGGTGCGGTGGCTTACGCCTGTAATCCCAGCACTTTGGGAGGCTGAGGCGGGTGGATCACCTGAGGTTGGGAGTTTGAGACCAGCCTGACCAACATGGAGAAACCCCATCTCTACTTAAAAAATTACAAAATTAGCTGGGCATGGTAGCACATGCCTATAATCCCAGCTACTAGGGAGGCTGAGGCAGGAGAATCGCTTGAACCTGGGAGGCGGAGGTTGTGGTAAGCCGAGATCGTGCCATTGCACTCCAGCCAGGGCAACAAGAGTGAAACTCCATCTCAAAAAAAAAAAAAAAAAATTTATAAGGCTATTATAGTATAGATAGTATAGACAGACTTTTCCCACTCTCTAAACGGACATTTTCATGATTTGTAGAAAATCTGTTTACAACCCCATATTTCTACTGTTTTGACTCTTAACCTTCTTGTCATTTGCATTTAAAATGTATTTTTCTTAAGATTTTGCAATATATATAATGGTCTTGGTTGTGTTATTTAAATTGATCTTAAAAATACTCTAAAGAAGTTTCTTAGAACCCTTTTATTTATTTTCTTGAAATAATTGATGATACAGCATCAGTTTGGGACTAGCTGTTCTTAACCAGTACCCAGTCTCATGAAGCTGGTGTGTGATAATCATTACCCAAATGCTAGGAGAATAATGACAATTCAATGTAAATAAGTCTCTTATTTATCCAAAGTCTTTAACAGAGAGCATTGATGTAGTTTTCTAAACCATATTTTTCCAACACTATCAGATGAAATAAATCTATATTTTTGAATGTGTGTGTTTGGGTGAAAGAGGGAGATTATCTTTATTCAGTTATTTTACAATTATAGAGGTGTTCTCTGCTAGAGGCTTGGGATACAAAGAGAAAAAAACAGATACCTCTGCCATCATGAATTCTGTGGTGTAGTGGGAAAGGCAGGCACTGAAAAAGTCATAGCAGTAAAATTTGATGAGTATTTTGGAAATAAAAGCACAGAGATTTGTGAGAAAATAAAACTGGTACTACAACTTGGGCCACAGGCCAGGAAAGGTCATCCTGAGGTTTTGCTATATATAATCTAAGGAAATTAGAATTTAAACCCAGTTGTTTAAATATTTAAGTCTTGCTTGGACAGTAGAGGGCTCATTAAAAATACAGGTTCCTGGCTTTTTCTAGAAAGTTAGAAAGAAGCTCTGAGCTCCAGAATGTGGTGACCCCAACCTCAGTATCATCGTGGTCTCACTCAAGTTTCCTCTGTCTGGGAAGCTTAGTGCTCAGATGGCCCTGGGGTGAGATTACAGAGAAAGACAGGTGGTGACTGAGTTCTTGACATTGCAACCATAGGAACTGTTGACTTTTGGCTGGGCGCAGTGGCTCACGGCTGTAATCCCAGCACTTTGGGAGGCCGAGGTGGGCAGATCACGAGGTCAAGAGATTGAGACCATCCTGGCCAACATGGTGAAACCCCGTCTCTACTAAAAATACAAAAATTAGCTGGGCATGGTGGCATGTGCCTGTAGCCCCAGCTACTCAGGAGGCTGAGGCAGGGGAATCACTTGAACCCGAAAGGGGGAGGTTGCAGTGGGCCGAGATTGCACCACTACACTCCAGCCTGGCAACAGAGACTCCGTCTCAAAAAAAAAAAAAAAAAGGAAATGTTGACCTTTAAGGATATGGCTTTGGATTTTACTCAGAAAGAGCAGACCCTGCTAGACCCATCTCAGAGGAAGCTGCAGAGACATGTGATTCTGGAGAAAATCCTCAAAACCAGCATCCAGGCAGTAAAGTCTTAGAAACAAAGACAGAACTTCCATGTAGAATATCTACAGGAAGGAGCGATCTAACAACATGTCAACACTGAGATTTGTAAGGGTGAACTGTGTTCCTCCACAGCAGAATTGGCCTGGGGAGGGCCAAATTAGGAATGCAGCACAATCACATGACTTTAATTTGAGACTAGAGAAAGTGTGCTATCTCAGCTCAAAGGTGTGGATAGTTCAAATCTGGGAGAAAAGGAATAACCGGAGCCCTAAGCCATAACCTGAGTTCTTATAAGAGGACAATTGCATAAATATAGCCAATATATTTAGTGCTTGAAATATAATGAAAATCTTAAAATTAATCATATAGCTATGCAGCTGACCTACTACAAAGGAGAAAACTTCTGTATGCAAAGGAGAGTAATACACCACATGAATGTAACTAACGTGGAAGATGTTAACTAGGGACTATACTGAATGCTCGGCATCAGATTCATATGTGGGAAAATAAATGAATAAATGAAGGTACTTGAGCAAGGCTTTAACAGCCTGTTATGTCCTCAGTGGCAGAGATGTTACAGTGGAGAATAGCCCTTTGAATATAATGAGTATGAGGAAGTTATCACAGCTCAACATTGACTCAACGTGTGTTAGCTCACACTGGAGGGAAACTCCATAAATGTAATGAATGTAGGAAACACTTCATCCAGAGAGCTAACTTATTCATACCAGAGAACTCAAGAGAGAAACTCTGTCTGTAATCAGTGTGGAAATGCCTTCAGTGACCATTTATCCTTTAAACAACACCGTGAATTAACACTGGAGAGAAGCCATATGAATATGATCTATGTGAGAAAGTCTTCATTTAATGATCTCATCTTATAATGAGACAATGCACATGGAGAGAAACCCTATAAATGTACAGCATTTGGAAGAGCCTTCAACCTCAGCCCTAACCTTTATAGGCGGTCTCACTCAAGTTTCCATCTATCTGAAAGATGCCATCTTTTAGATACCAGAGAGCTCCCACAGGGCTAAACCCTACACCCTTCAGGCAAAGCTCAAGCCTTGATATGCAGAAAAAAACTTAGAGTAAAACAGGAAAGAAAGTGGCAAGTTTTTTCCAGGAGGAAGAAACCTGTTGGGAAAACACTAGATAATTCATGCTGGAGAAGGAATTCAGTGAAATAAACACGATAAACCCTTTACTCATAGAGCAACACTCCAGGACATGTGAGGATTAATGCTGTATAAAACACTCACTAAGACAAAAGCAACTTGTTAAAATAAAAAAAAAGAAAATTATTAAAAATAATAATAAAACACTGTCAGTGACCTGAATTAGGGAAAGTATTTGGTGATTGCACGTACCTTCGTGAACCTTGAAGTTCTCATGTTGGGGAATCTCCTCAAGTTAATGTAAGTCTATTTCAGCATACTAGAGTATCAAGATGAATGCATGAAATTTCCTTATGTATTTGTATTTTCTTTATAGGATAAAGAGGCACAGAAAGAGATGCAAAAAATAATGACTTCCTTGAAGAGGTAAATAACCGAATTTACTCTTCAACAAATCAGACGTGATCTACCAAAATTTAAACGAATCAAAGTTTTATTATCCTTTTCTTCATTTTTGATGTAAGGGTATTGTGCTTAGATTTGAAGGTAAAGCCATGTTTCTGCAGAATGCATTCCACTAGTAGCACTACAAAATTATGTTATTTGGAGAATCTATATACTATAATGTCAATACATAATCTATAAACATGTATGCTTTGTATTTTTCTTATCAATAAACTGCAGCCTTCAGAATATTTCTTTAAATATTTAAATCCAATAAAATGAATTTTCATGAGTATTTTATTGTTTCAATGGAGACTTCATAAAACAAAATAATTTCATTAATGTGGATGAAAAATGGAAAACTGAGCAAAGGACATGAACAAGTTGTTGGCAGAAGAGAAAAAAACAAACAGATGTAGTATTGTAACTGGTGATCAAAAGATGTGAATAAAATTACAATAAAATACTCTTTTACCATCAAACTAGATTTCATTTGCGTCCGAGTGAAGAGACCACCAAACAGGCTTTGTGTGAGCAACAAGGCTGTTTATTTCACCTGGGGACAGGCGGGCTGAGTCCGAAAAGAGAGTCAGCGAAGGGAGGCAGGGGTGGGGGGCTGTTTTATCAGATTTGGGTAGGTAATGGAAGATTACAGTCAAAGGGGATTGTTCTCTGGCTGGCAAGTGTAGGGGTCACAAGGTGCTCAGTGGGGGAGCTTTTGAGCCAGGATGAGCCAGGAGAAGGAATTTCACAAGGTAATGTCATCAGTTAAGGCAGGGACCGGCCATTTTCACTTCTTTTGTGGTGAAATGTCATCAGTTAAGGCAGGAAACAGCCACTTTCACTTCTTTTGTGATTCTTTGCTTGCTTCAGGCCATCTGGACATATACATGCAGGTCACAGGGGATACGATGTCTTAGTTTGGGCTCAGAGGCCTGACGTTAGCAAGGATTATTTTCTTCATTCAGGAAGCATTCAACACTGGCAGTATTGTTATGAGATGGAGCATTCTCATACACAGTTAGTGAGAGAATATTTTGTCACCTGGGTACATCAAATATGAAAATATAAAAGAAATTTAAAAAGTACTTTGGCACAAACCTTTGGTAAAATTTATTGACAGCTTTTGAAAAGTATTAAATCTTTAGTCATGGAAATAATCATAAAGAGTAAAGTGCAGTGACTGATTCACAAATGTTCATAACAGCATAACACTATGTCCAACAGTAAGAAAGCAGCCACGTTGAAATATAACTACAATTGAATAACATTTTGACATTAAAAATTACAAAAATGATATAGGCAACTGCACAGAATATCTTAAGTGCAAGTATAAGTCAAAAATAGTACATACGTAGTGAGAGACAGGACTAGCTGGATTTCCTAGGCCGACTAAGAATCCCTAAGCCTAGCTGGGAAGGTGGCCGTATCCACCTTTAAACAGGGGGCTTGCAACTTAGCCCACACCCGACCAATCAGAGAGCTCACTAAAATGCTAACTAGGCAAAAACAGGAGGTAAAGAAATAGGCAATCATCTATTGCCTGAGAGCACAGCGGGAGGGACAAGGATCAGGATATAAACCCAGGCCTTCGAGCCAGCAGGCAACCCCCTTTGGGTCCCCTCCCCTTATATGGCGCTCTGTTTTCACTCTATTTCACTATTAAATCTTGCAACTGCACTCTTCTGGTCCGTGCTTTGTTACCGCTGGAGCTGAGCTTTCGGTCTCCGTCCACCACTGCTGTTTGCCGCCGTCACAGACCCGCCGCTGACTTCTGTCCCTCCGGATCCAGCAGAGTGTCCGCTATGCTGATCCAGTGAGGCGCCCATTGCCACTCCCCATTGGGCTAAAGGCTTGCTATTGTTCCTGCACAGCTAAGTGCCTGGGTTCATCCTAATCGAGCTGAACACTAGTCACTGGGTTCCATGGTTCTGTTCCATGACCCAGGGCTTCTAATAGAGCTATAATACTGCATAGCCCAAGATTCCATTCCTTGGAATCTGTGAGGCCAAGAACCCCAGGTCAGAGAATGCGAGGCTTGCCACCATCTTGGAAGTGGCCCGCCGCCATTTTGAAAGTGGCCTGCCACCATCTTGAGAGCTCTGGGAGCAAGGACTGTCCCCACACCCCACCAGGTAACAATAGGATCTCAACAGTATAAAAATAAGCACAGAAGAGCATCTGGTAGGGAATACACTAAAATAGTAGTAGTATATGTTTCTGTGAAGCTTATTTTATTTCCTATATTTCCCAGTTTTTAATAATAAATAAAATGATTTTTTAGGTTGAACTTAGCAGTGAGCTATAAAGATTCCCTGCTACCTCTTAATCAGCCTAATCTTGGAAATCAGAGTAAAAACTTGGATTTTCTGTTTACTGTCCCAAATACATGGGTGTGCACGCACATGCACACACACACACACACATTTATAAACTCAAAAAAAGCCCTGATGTAGACATTCTGGTTAGTAGGTAAATTAAGCAACCCCCTAGCCCCATCTTCTATAATGGTCAATCAAGATACTGAATCAGTCCAGCTGGTTCTCACCCACTTTCCTCTGACAATTGGTCTGATGTTGAAACTCATGGCTAGATAGGGCAAGAGTCTTGCTGGTTCTGTCATGGATATGCTGAGAGGCTATGGATACCTCTGGCTCTCTAAACAGCTAAAGGAATATGTAAGTATAGAAAGGTGAATCCAGCTAGGAGCAAATGACATAGAATCAACTATGTTGTAGGTTTTGTGGGAGCAACTCATTCCGGCAGAGTGGTACAAACACTTCCTTTATGAATTATGAGGACTATCAAGAAACACTCCTGGTGGGTAACAGTGGGATTTAGGACTCATAATTGGAACCTGACATAAGATCTAATCAGTGTTCATTTATTATATTTTAATAAAATTCTTGTTTCTCATAATGTGTCTTCAATGGACAAGTTGATGTCCATTGACTGGGCAATCAGCGTAGTTATTTCTGGATATAGGCTTGACCCAATAGAAATGCAGTACTCATAATTCACTCTTTAGAGAATTAGGAGTTTCTGACACATGTGGCCATTTCTACAAATGGGTATTAACAGAGGGAATTCCCCTCCTCATTATGGTAATAACCCTTCAAAAGAGCATTAACTCCCTGCTGTATGCCCCCTTCCAGAGTCATACTGTCATATCTGTATTCCTTATAAAGCCATATATAATCAGAGAAATTATGTTTGGGAGGCTGAGGCTGGAGGATCAGTTGAGCTCAGGAGTTCAAGACAAGCCTGGGCAACATGGTGAAATCCCATCTCTACAAAAATTAGCTGAGCGTGGTGGTGCATGCCTGTATTTACAGCTACTCGGGTGGCTGAGGTGGGAGGATTACTTCAACCCAGGAGGTCAAGGCTGGGATGAGCTGTAATTGCGCCCCTCCACTCCACTCTCCACTACACTCTGGGTGACAGAGTGAAACTCTGTTTCAAAAAAAAAATTTTTTTTATTTAAAAATAATTTTTTAAAATTAAAAACATTGGAAGTAATTGCTAAATAGCTCAAAAACCGTGAACAGGACTAGAATCTGATAACCTAGAAGGGTGTGCTATAGAGCAGTGGTCCCCAACCTTTTTGGCACCAGGGGCCATTTTCGTGGAAGACAATTTTTCCCTGGACCCGGGGATAGGGGGATGGTTTCAGAATGATTCAAGTACATTATATTTAGTGTGCACTTTATTTCTATTATTATTACAGTGTAATATATAATGAAATAATTATACAACCCGCCATAATGTAGAACCAGTGGAAGCCCTGAACTTGTTTTCCTGCAACTAGATGGTCCCATCCGGGGGTGATGGGAGACAGTGGCAGACCTATCAGGCATTGATTCTCATAAGGAGTGTGCAACGTACATCCCTCACATGCACAGTTCACAGTAGGATTCGCCCTACTAATACCACCACTGATCTGACAGGAGGAGGCGCTCAGGTGGTAATATGAGCAATGGGGGGCAGCTGTAAATACAGATGAAGCTTTGCTCACTTGCCCACTGCTCATCTCCTGCTGTGAGGCCCAGTTCTTAACAGGCCACAAGCCAGTTACCAGTACCACTACCAGCCTGTGGCCCGAGGGTTAGGGACCCCTGCTATAGAGGATACATAGGATATTTTGTCAATTTATTTATTTAGTTATTATTTTATTTTATTTTATTTTATTTTATTTTGAGACAAAGTCTGGCTCTGTCGCCCAGGCTGGAGTGCAGTGGCGCAATCTCGGCTCACTGCAACCTCCACCTCCTGGGTTCACCCCATTCTCCTGCCTCAGTCTCCTGAGTAGCTGGGACTACAGGCGTCCGCCACCACGCCCGGCTAATTTTTTGTATTTTTAGTAGAGACGGGGTTTCACTGTATTAGCCAGGGTGGTCTCGATCTCCTGACCTTGTGATCCGCCCGCCTCAGCCTCCCAAAGTGCTGGGATCACAGGCATGAGCCACCGCGCCCGGCCTATTTTGTCAATTTAATCCTCAATCCAATCCAATGAGGGAGGTGGTGGTCTTTCCATATAGGTAATGACATAATTGAGGCTTGGAGTAAATAACTTGCCAAAGACCTTTCTTAACAAGTGGAAAGAGTTGGTACTTAAACATGGCTTATTTCGACTCGTTAGTCTAGTCTTAGTTACTCACAACAGATATATAAAAGGTACTGTGTAGATAAAGATGAGGAAACAAACCAAAATAAAGAAGTTATCTGTAATGAGGCCAAGTAAAAATGGTTTCTATATTAAATACCCCTACTTTCTAAAAACTGAGTGATTTTCTTGAATGACAGGATTATATGTAGAATATTACACTTACTCCAAGGAATTTCATGCAAAGTGAGCCATGGGGACTCTGGTTTTCTATGGTTACTTCACTCACCACTCATGCTGCTTGACCTCAGAGAAGACAGAATAGCTGCAGAGTGTTCCTGAAATGAGGATTGTTCCTGCTGGATCACGAAGTCCAAGCTGATGGTACACCTGCCGCTCACAGATGAGGTACCCAAACTGCTAACTTCTCAAGAGACTTCGTGTACAACTTTGGAAAGGGGGAGTTCTGACCCAAACTTTGAATATGTTTGATTTCAGAAGATAAGAATCAAACTGTATGTTGCAATTTCTCATAAAACATTAAAGAGGTAACTTAGTGGTCCACTAAAATTTTAGTGATGTCCATGTAATTGCGATGTTATCTTTCTTACTAAATAACAAATGGCCTTCATTGTAATATGAAAATCCATGCCACTTCTCATTTGTGCCTAAAAGTTATCAAAAGGCTTTTCATTTGATAATATTTTTAGACTTTTGAATTTCAAAAAGCAGTGGTACAAGCTGAATGGGGTTAGCTTTTACACTAAACTCATTTTACCAATAAATGGTTTAAGCGTTGATGTGTAAGTAACAGGGTTGGGGTCAGACAACTGTAGTGACCAAGCCAGGACTGAGTTCCAGCCCTTGGAATCTCACTTC